TAAAACTAATTTCATTTTATATTTAAATGTACATGTTTCTTCTATTTCGCGTGTTTGGTGTTTGGGTCAATTGGTTGATTACTTTTTAAATAGAAATACTCTGGTTTGAGTTTTGATTTTTTAGGATGATACAATTCCTTCTCTTTTTAAAATATTAGGACTATTTGTAACTTATTAAAAATATATGTAAGTGTTTTTTTTTTAAAAAAATAAATTAAATATTTTAAATTATAAATAATTATTATTATTTATTATTTAATATCAATTATATCTAAATAATTAACCTAAACACTCATTGGCATTTTTTTAATAAAATGTTAAGCCGCGTGTGAATGCAACCTCACTTTTTGAAACAATGACTAAGTAATTACACATTGCAATTATATAATCCATGTGGTATCTATTAATTCATCGAAAAAGACCAACTCCCGAGTGACGAGTCCTGTCTCTATTGCAACTGACAAGTTACGAGCCAACAGTATTGAATAAAACAGGCCTCCTGTCTCCGTCACCCACTTCTTTTTTGAATAAAACCGGGCTCCTGATGACCTGATCTAAGCGGCGGTGACTCCGAGTTTGCTCGCTGCATCCACGCGGCGAACCGGCCACATGGCTCGCTGCATATCCTGCATTCACGCGGCGAATCGGCTACATGGCTCGCTGCACACACGGACTCGTGTCCCAGGCTAACTGCCAAGCGTGTGACTGTCGTCTTATGATTCTCGTACTGTATTCACACACGTGTATCATATGCTATGTTGTGAAGTTTCCCAATGAGATATATATCATGAGTAATGAATTACGTGACGAATTTACAGAACGATTTGAGACGATAAGTGGAGCAGTACTAACACCAATTACCAATTTAATCATGTTTTCACTTGTCATCCTTCAAAATCGTCTCGTAAATTCATCCGCAAATCATTACTCATATATCATAGATGCAACATTGTTGCTTTCCAAGCCGGGGAGTGGTGTAAAATAAAGTCACTTTTTTCTTCTTCTTTTTTTCTTCTTTTTTTTTTTTGGGAGAGGGGGTGTTTAATAGTTAAATGTTTTAAGTTATAATTTAATGTTATTTATGTTAAAATAAAAAATATATAAAAAAATTAT